ACTCCAGCCACTGCAGCCATTTGGGGGAGTGAATCAGCGAATGCAAGGTCTCCATGTCTCCTTCTCTCCCTGTAAATCTGCCTTTCCAATAAAAACAAAATAAATATTTTTTTATTATTTTTTAACTTTAGTTTTTAAAATAATGATTACATGATTGAAAAAATTAAAAAAAAAACATGGTTGATCAGGATGGGAAAGATAAAGGTTTAGGGAAAATCGAGTGAATTCATTGCTTCCAAATTTGCTATGCTTTTTTTAAAAAAGATTTATTTATTTTTATTACAAAGTCAGATATACAGAGAAGAAGATATACAGATATACAGAGAAACAGGAAGATCTTCCGTCCGATGATTCACTCCCCAAGTGAGCGCAACGGCCGATGCTACGCCGATCCGAAGCCAGGAGCCTCTTCCGGCTCTCCCACACAGGTGCAGAGTCCCCAGGCTTTGGGCTGTCCTCGACTGCTTTCCCGGGTCACAGGCAGGGAGCTGTATGGGAAACAGGGCTGCTGGGATTAGAACCGGTGCCCATATGGGATCCCAACACGTTCAAGGTGAGGACTTTAGCCACTAGGCCACGCCACAGGGCCCAAATTTGCTATTGTTGTTGTTTCTGGGAGAAGGGAAGTATTGGAACAAGAGGTTCTTAGCTCCCAGCTGTGCGTGGTCGCTACTTTAGGGCTTGATCTGCAACAAAGCACTCTGCAAGCCTTTCTTAGATAAGCCATAAAACGTTTATTGAGCAGGGAGAATAAAATAAGTGAAGATAAAAGAAAAGGTATGAGGAGAAAGGGGAGACCAGGTAGAGGAGAATTCATCCACTGTAGTGTTTACCGCCTTAGGGCCCTTCTCCCCAGCACGACCCTCAGGACCGGACCGGGCACATGACCGGGCACCACGGGCAGTTCAGCACCAGGCTGGGAACAGCACATCACTGGGCACTACGGCAACTCAATAGGGCGTGCTTCTTCCTGGCTATTGGCTGTATATATAATCCTTTACGCCAGAGCGGCACTGGGCCAGCTATTCTAACCTGGTACCTTCTCTCTGACCCATACACACATTCCTTCCCAGGCCCGGCCGAGGGCCCAGACAGAACGTGTGTAGGCAGGGGAACCCTATCTTGCATAAACAATCTTGCACACCCGCACCGCCTTCGGCCCTGGCCAGAAACCTAAAGGGAGTGTGTGCAGCAGACATCTGCATCTCCAAAGAACCTTCCTCCGTGCGGTTCTTCCCAGGGTCGGCCCACTTCGGACCTGAACTTGGAGAGGAAGTCCTTAACTATTTAACAGCCAAGCCTCACGCAGCACTCATTTTCCTCACAGGAAGAGACAAAAGGGAAAACCACTCATGACTTTCCACACGTCCCAGTACCCAGGGATGAGGAGCTGCCACCTCATATCAACCCAGAGTCTCCACGTGTACATATTCCGAGGGTTCTGTCCAAGTGGTTTGGATAGTTCTGGAATGCTGCCGATTTCACTGATCCGAGGATGATGTCACCTTCCCAATGTCCACTGGCTCCATTCACCGAGATTCCCCAGCACCCATCTAGTAGGTGGGTCCTGGGACCCAGGCCAGGAAACCAAAGTCCCACCGAATCCCCCATCCCCAGCATTCCACAAAACCAACACCCACCTAGACGGTGGGCTCCAGGATCTAGGTCAAGCGACCCACACCCCACTAGTTCTCCCATCCCCAGGGCTCAGGAACCCATGCCCCACCACACAGGTAAGCCCCGTGATCTGAGCCAAGCTACCCGAGTCCTGTCAGATCCCCTGTCCCATGTACCCAGCCCTCACTGGGCCCAGGCTGGCATGATTCGCCTCACTCAGCGTCCACAGTCTTACTGCACAGCCTGGTCTAGTCTAGTCTGCCCCCTATTCCAACTCCTGTTGGTGGGTGCTGCAGCCTACCCAGCCCAGCCTGATTGCTCATGATGGTGAGTACATGAGTTGGCACGGTGTTGGCCAGGCCTAGGGCTGTTTCACTTGTCAGCAGGTATGTGGGTTGCCTCTGGGGTGGCAGACTGGGAATGGCCACGCCAATGCGTAACACACTGGCATGCAAGGAAGCCAAGATCGGGTACTAGGCTAGGCTATCACACCTACTGGTTTGCATGAAAGCCAGGGATGGGGACAGACTGGGTAGGGCTAGGCTGCAACACCCACCAGCAAAATTTGGGCCTGGGGGAAAGGGCCAGGCCAGCCCAGGCTGCAGCATCTGATGGCAAATACCAAGCCGGGTGAAGGGTTATGCCAGGCTGGATTGGAGCAACCACCAGCATGTGCAAGATCTATGGCTTGGAGCAGGCCTGGTTGGGAAGCTAAAGGGACACAGCAGCTGGTGAGCCCTAAAGCTGGAATGGGGAGGCAAAGTGGGCTGGACATGCCTGCAGAATACCTCGGTATGGGTGTGGGTTCGGTCTGGGTTTTGCCAGACTGAGGTAGGCTCCAGTGCCCACTAGTACTTGCAAGAGCCAGAGTAGGTGTAGGACAGGCTGGGCTAGGTCTCGGACCAGTTGAAACATGTGAGAGCTGGGACTGGGGATGGGCCAGCCAGGGCTTGTTTGTGACATCCAACAGTAACAGCCGGAATGAGTGTGGGCTGGTTGGACAAAGCCACTGTAGCTGCCAAGACAGGAGGTGGGCCAAGTCAGGTTAGGCCAATGACTGACTCACCAGTGTGTTAGATTTGCGACTGGGAGGTGACCTGATAGAGGAGCTTGGAGAACTCCTCTGTCAGGACACAGTCCCTGCAGGTGAGTGCAAGAACCAAGGCTGGGAGCAGCCCAGAGCAGACCAGATTACAGTTCCCACAGATGTATGTGTGGGTCAGGTCTGGGGCAGACCAACCAGGGCCAGTTCATAACATCCCCTGGCAAGACATGAGAACCAGGACTGGGTATAAGACAAGCCAATTTGGGCCACAACATCAGCCGGGTCACATTAGGGTTGGAACTAGGGGCTGGCTGGCTGGACTAGGCTAGGCTGTAACACCCACCAGTGTGAGCTGGGACTTGGACCATACTGAGCTGAGCCAGGCTGCAGCAGCCACCAGTGAATGCTGAGGTGAGGCGAGACATGCTAGCCTAGGATGAAGCATCCACCAGCACGCATTAAGACCTGCGAGGTGGCAGTGAGCCTTGCAAGGGGTCTGTGAGGTCTCCCCTCTGGGCCACTGCTCTAACTGGCGAGTATGAGAGCTTGAACTGGGCACATACCAGGCTGGGCTGGGCTACAAAATCTGCAGGTTTGCATGTGAATTAGGTTGGGGGAGAGCCAGGCTTATCCATTGGCGCACACATGAGCCTGAGTAAGAGCAGACTGGTTGGGCTTTGCCTGCAGCATCAGCTGGCAGGAGCTGGGACTGTGGGCAAGTCCTGTCAGGCTAGACTGCTGAACCACCTGGAAAGTGTAAGATCTGAGGCTGGGAATGGACCTAGTGGGGAAACTGTGGCCACTTCTAGCTGCAGCTGCAACTAGTGAGCATGAGAATCAGGGCTAGGGTAGGCCTGGCTAGACAGGCAGTGGCACCTGCCAGCAGGAGTGTGGGCTGGAGAGCCAAATGGGATGTTCAATGCACGGGACCAGTCTGCTGCACACACCAGCATGCTCGGGAACTGGGACTGGGGTGGGGGCTGTTGGGAGTCGCTCTGACTAGGCCTCAGTTCCCACTGGTGTGCGTGAGGGCCAAGTGTGTAGTGGATGTGGATTGGCTGGGCTGCGGCATCCATTGGTTTGTGTATGAGATGGGGCTGGGGACAGAACTGACCCAGCAACGGAAACCACCAGTCTGTGGATAGGCTGCTACCGGTGATGGACTGAGCCAGACCCCACAATCGCTGGCACACACAAGCACTCAAGAGTCAGGTCATCTCAGATGAGGTTTCCTTGTGGACCCTTCAATGTGGACCACTGGAATCAGAATTCCAACCACAGGGAATATCATAGGATCTGTGTGGTCTGACTGTGGAGTGCATGTGTCAGAACTGGGTCTCCTCGGTCGTTGAATGCTGTGCAGTGGACAGCACGCCCACACGCACATGGTGCATGACAACCAGTTCACTGAGGCCTGCAGAGGACGTCTGGTACCATGGAGGGCAGAATAAACTGGACAGCTCTCCCGGACAAGCTTTGACAGCATCTGGGCAAGTGGACTATCAGCCAATGAACCTTGGGAGGATTTCCTCAACCTTGTAGCAAGAAAATCAATAGCATCTAAGAACTATCAAAACCACATAAGCAGGGCCCGGCGACATGGCCTAGCGGCTAAAGTCCTTGCCTTGAACGCGCTGGGATCCCATATAGGCACTGGTTCTAATCCTAGCAGCTCCACTTCCCATCCAGCTCCCTGCCTGTGGCCTGGGAAAGCAGTCGAGGACGGCCCAAAGCCTTGGGACCCTGCACCCGTGTGGGAGACCAGGAAGAAGTTCCTGGTTCCCGGCCTCGGATCGGCGCAGTACTGGCCATTGCGCTCACTTGGGGAGTGAATCATCGGATGGAAGATCTTCCTCTCTGTCTCTCCTCTCTATATATGTGACTTTTCAATAAAATAAACCTTTTTTTAAAAGTACACATATAAAAGTCATATTCAAAGGTCACACTAATATCTTTTAAAATAAAGGCACAGAAAAAAAAAAAACCACACATATCTTCACCTGATGCTTGTCAAGCAATTTCATTAGTTAGAACAAGCAGAATTCAGTGTGCATGAGACCAGTGAAGTTCCCCTCCACACAGAGGGGAGACAGCAAAGCACGCTGCCGCCCGGGCTGCAGCACCCACCCAACTACCCTCAGGTGAACCACGGATGCCGTGGGGACCTCTCGGGGTGAGCAGCGAGCATGGCCCACTCCTTCAGCAAGGCCTGGCGCCGCCCTGCAGCCGGACCCCCACCCCCGGCCGTCTCCTTCTTCCCCCTCCCCGCTCCTCGGCGCCCCAGAAAGCACACACGCGAGACGGAGGACACAGGTGGCCGTGGCCAGCGTGATGTGCGCTAGGAGGGCAGTAGTCCCCGCGCACGCAGCTCGAGCAGCGGGGACAGCGTATAGCGCAGACGGCGCCGGGCGGCGTCCGAGCCCAGGTGCGGGAGGCCCTGCCGGAGGCCGTCGGGGTTCAGCAGCGCCGCGTACAGCAGCGGCAGCGTCAGGAAGCCGAGCGGCAGCAGCAGCAGCGTCTGCAGCGCGCCGAGGGCCCAGAGCCTGCGGGGACGCGCGGGGTCGTGGCTAGGGATGCCGGAGGCGGCCCCGGGAAACACCAACCCTGAGCCCCAGCCGCCCGTCTCGCTCACCCGACGCCACCTGCGCCCGCACCGCCGAGCAGCCGCTTCTCCTGTGGGGACGCACGGGGAGAAGAGAGGAAGCGACCTGCAGCTCTGCGCACCACTCCGGGGCAAAGCGCACGACCCCCGTGCCGCCTCCCACGCGTGGGCACGAGGGAGAGGGGCGGGTCCCCGTGGGAGGCGGACCCCGGCTGCGGCCCGCCCCGACGCGCGCGCTCACACAGTCCGCCTCGGCCACCTCCTGCATGAGCGAGCCCGCGCAGTCCTGCTCGGGACGAGACTCGGCGTCCCACCTGCGGGGGCGGCCATCCACTTGGGGCGAATCTGTCTCCCAAGGCCCCCGCAGTCACCCCGCCGCTATCAAGCCGTTCCCAAGTCCCTTACGGTCCCGGGTTGCCCCGCGAGGCGTCCAGCGCTGCTGCAGCCTCCATCACTTTTCCCTGCAGTTCCTAAGGGGTGTAAGTTCGGGGCCTCAGAGCAGGGGCGGCGGGGGTGCGGAATACCGAGCTGGAGGGAAGGGGCCCTCCCGGTAAGCTATGGGCGCCGCACCTGCAGGACCCCGCTCTGCTCCTGGAAGCTGGCCCAGGCCTCCTCCGTCCGCTGTGCGCCCTGGGGTGCGGGGATACCAGGAGAGGGATGTAGAGGGTGGAGAGAGGTTCGGGTGAGGGCCCGGAGAGGACACGCCCCTCCCTGGTCCGGCTGCACCTGCTCAGCTCCACCCACACGCCAATCCGAAGCCTTCCCTCCCCTCCTCGCCCCTCCCCGGTACAAGACCCCAGCTGGGCGCGCACCTGCCGCAAACTCTCCGCCTGCATGGCGTACTTGGCCTCTAGCACCTCCAGCTGTTTCTTTTGGAAAGATCGCGTAGCAGGAGACGTCAAGAACGGGGGAGACGCCCTGGGCCGAGCTCCGGGCTCCACCCCCGGCCCTCCAAGCCCCGCGCCAGCACCTGCAGCGCTACCAGTTGGGTCCCGAGTTGCTGCTCCGCGCGTTGCTGACTCGGCTGCTCTCCTCCGTAGTAGAAGAGCTAGGAGAAGGGCTCGTGAGGAGGCGGGTGGGGACGGGACGACCGAGCGGAGCGGAGGACGAGCGGGAGACCCGGGGAGCACCTACCTGACTGGACAGCTCCTCCCACTGCTCCTGCAGCCGCACGTTCTGCTGCTCCTGCCAACGAGGAGGCGGAGAAGGGGCGGGGCTCCGAGGCCGCCAGCCCCGCCCCTCCGCAGGCCCCGCCCACCCACCAGCTCCCGCTTGTGGCGCTCGGCCGCTTCCAGCAGTGCGCGCGCCCGCTCCGCGCGCTCCCGCGCCGCCTCCCGCACCTCCCCTCGGAGCGCCCGCGCCGCCTGGCTTCGCCTCCGCTGCAGGCTGGGGAGAAAAAGGAGATGGGGGCCACCGCGGGAGCGGGAGGACAGACGCAGGGGGGACCCGGTTCCTCCCCCACGCGCACCCCATCCCCAGCAGCCGCGGCCTGGAGGGCCGGTTCTGGGGAGAAGCCCGATGCTAGGTCCCCCGCCGCCCTCGGCTTTCCAGACCACCGAATGCGTCACCCCCACTCCCACCACCACCACCGCTCGGTCCCCAAAACGTCCCGGCTCTTGGGAGGTGCGGGCCCCCGAGGAAGGGCGGTGGGCTTCCCACCCCGTCGAGGCGCGCACCCGCGCTCCAGCCCGCGCAGGTCCTGCAGGCGCCCGGTGAGGCTCTCGCTCTCCGCCTCGAGCCCTCGCACCAGCTCCTCCAGCTCCTGCTTGCGCTGGCGGCCGTCGCGGTTGTCCTTCTGCAGCTGCAGCAGCTGCTCCTGCGTCTCAGCCATGGCTGTGGGGGCTTCTGCCCGCACCGCGGCCGCCCGGGGCCTCCCGGCTGTTCTTAGCTGGCGTCACAAAGGACGGCAGGCGGCGACCCCCCAACCCCATGGCACCGAGCGCGGACCCCACCCGACACCCAGACACACAGCCGGCACTGCCCCCTCCCCGGCTGAGGAGCCGTCCAGTAAGGCCCCGTGTCTGTATCCATGGTTTATAAAAACGTTAATTGCCACCATACAATCCAGCCAAGGCCAGCATGGCTGGCAACATAAAACAAACAAACAAACAAAATCAAGCTACTGAAGAGCTGTTCTAAAAAAAAAAGAGGGGGAGAAGGTTTAGGTGATTTAGAGAAAGAAAAACTCACAGGGAGCTGGGAGCAAAGTGGAGCCGCCGGGACAAACACCAGCGCCTGTATGGGATGCTGGAGTCATAGGCAGGCTGAAACTACTACATCCTGGCTTCCGCTTCTTATTTTTATAAGATTTATTTTTTCAGTAAGGGAAGAGAGATCGTTCACCTGTAGGTTCACTCCTCAAATTGCCGCAGTATCTGGGGCTGGGCCAGGCTGAAGCCAGGAGCTCCGTGTGCAACTCCCCTGGGAGTCCCAGGGTCCAAGTACCGGTTGCCATCACCTGCTGTCTCCCAGAGATGTGTCAGCTGCTAAGCAGGACGGCCATGGGGCTCATTCTGAGACAATGTTCTGTAACGCACTGCAATTGGGTGAGGAAGGCGGTGGCTGCGCCAGCTGACGCCAAGCCTGATGTTGCCACCTGACCCGCCTGTGGCTGGGGCCAAGCTGGCTCTATCCTCCGGACGCAGCCATTCAGGCTGCAGGCTGGGACTGCTGTACACACTGGGCCACTTTCCTGGCCCACCCCGTCCCAGGACTAGAGGGGAGCAGGGAAAGAAAGGAAACCAGGGCCATATTCCACCCCACTGGCTCCACCACCACCACCACCCCTGCCCCCTTGTGGCAGTCCCAGCCTGCCTCCCTCTCTCCGAGTCACTCCCTCCCTGCGGCAGCCCCTCTGTCCCTCAGTGGGACATTCCATGGGCAGAGCTGCCCTGGCACTGTGCGGGCCTCTCCCTCTCCCCCTCCCCCTCCCCGCTGGGCGCTGCTCCCCTGGCCAGCAATGATCCTGCCTAACTGGAGGCTCCACAGGAACCTCTCAATGCAGCCTCTTAGCATCCCTATCACTGCCACCCTGGGCTGGGCCATTCCACAAACTCCTAAAAAGTTGGTATGCTCCCTGGCAGTGCAGTGCATTGCAGTAGGCTAAGCCTTTGTCTGGGAAGCCACCGTCCCATATGGGCACTAATTCAAGGCCTAGCTGCTTCATTTCCCATCCAGCTCCTTGTTAATGCAGCAGAGGATGGCCAGATCCTTGGGACCCCGCACCCACGTGGGAGACCCAGAAGAAACTCCTGACTCCAAGCTTTGGATTGGCTCAGTTTTAGCCCCTCACTTACGAAGTAAACCAACAGAAGACCTTTCTCTTCCTCTTTCCCTCTATAAGTCTACCTTTCAAATGTGTGATGACTCAGTAGCTAAATCCTCACCTTACAAAAGTCAGGATCCCATATGGGTGCTGGTTCGAATCGCAGCTGCTCCAGTTCCCACCCAGCTCCCTGCTTGTGGCCTGGGAAAGCAGAAGAGGATGGCCCAAAGCCATGGAACCCTGCACCCATGTGAGAGACCCAGAGGAAGCTTTGGTTCCTGGCTTCAGACTGGCCCAGCACCAGCTGGTTTTTTTTATATTTTTTATTTTTTTTAAAGATTTTTATTTTTATTATTTTCTTATTGGAAAGGCAGATATACAGAGAGGAGAGACAGAGAGGAAGATCTTCCGTCCGATGATTCACTCCCCAAGTGAGCGCAATGGCCGATGCTAAGCCGATCCGAAGCCAGGAGGCTCCTCCGGGTCTCCCACGTGGGTGCAGGGTCCCAAAGCTTTGGGCCGTCCTCGACTGCTTTCCCAGGCCACAGGCAGGGAGCTGGAAGGGAAGCGGGGCTGCTGGGATTAGAACCAGTGCCTATATGGGATCCCGGGCGTGCAAGGCAAGGACCTTAACCACTTGCGCCACCGCGCCGGGCCCCAGCTGTTTTGATTGCTTGGGGAGTTAACCAGTGGACAGAAGATCTTTCTTTGTCTCTCCTCTTTGTAAATCTGCCTTTCCAATAAAAATAAATAAATGAATTCTTATGAAAATAAGATGCCAAGGCTGGGATTGTGCAGCAGTTGGAAAACTCACCTCTTCCTTGTAACACCAGCACACCATATGGACTGGCTATTCCATTTCTGATCCAGCTCCCTGCCCTGTCTGGCATCCCCAGCACAGGACTGGCTCCCATGGGGTAGACCAGCAGTCCCACCAAACTCCCCCTCCCCCACCCCTTTTTATCTCATGCAACACTTTCTCCAAGTGCTACGACTAAATGTGGGTTCTGCCTTCTTGGCATCATTAACCTAAGGCTTTGGGGACTAAACTCCTGAGTTCTTGGGGATGCAAGCAAAACCACAGACAGTGCTCTTCCTGTGTGCGTCCTTTCACTGGGGACGGGGGTGGGGGTGGGGTCAGGAGCACCACGGCAGGTGCACAGGAAGCACATCTGCTTTTTCCTGCTTCCTGGGTGTCCCACACTGCACTGACTTGCAAGGGGGCACTGGTAACGTAACTGATCATCCTCATTTACTTAGAAGGGCAGAGCGTTTGAGACAGATGCGCGTGCACACACAGACATCTTCCATTTTCTGATTCACTCCTCAAATGCCCACAGAAGTCAGAGGCCGGTAATTCAGTCCAGATCTGCTATGCAGGCGGCAGGGAATGTAGGCCTGCCTCTCCGGTGAGTGTTCGCAAGAAGTTGGAAGCAGAGCCAGGAGCTGACCTCATGGACAGTGTATAGGATGCAACATAAATAAACCACACAGGGGCGTGTTGTCCTCCAAACACGTCACTGAGGCATGGGTCTTCAGGCTGGCAGTTAAAATGGCTTCATGCTGGGAGTTTACACGTGTGTCCCAACTCTGCTTCTGATCCTGCTCCCTGCTAATTAATGTTCACCCTGAGCAAAAGGGAACAGGTGATGGCTCGAGATTGGGTCCTCCTGCCACCCCTGGGGGAGACCCAGATCGTATTCTGGCTCCCGACTTCCACCCGGGCACAGTCCTGGTTCTTGTGGTCATTTAGGAGAATGAACCAGTAGATGGGGTGTGGTAGAGCTGTATGTCTCACATTTGAAAAATAATATTTTCATTTAAGGACATACACACAAGGCTGCCACCGTACTCAATTGGCTAATCCTCCACCATATGGCTTCGGTACTCAGTGCCGACTTGTGGCCCAGCTGCTCCACTTCCTATTCACCGCCCTGCTAATGGGCTAAGAAAGCACTGGGGAATGTCCCGATTCCTTGGGCTCTTCTAGCCACATGGGAGATCAGGAGCTCCTGGCTTTAGATTGGCTTAGCTCTGGTCATTGCAGCCATTTGGAAAGTGAACAGGTGGATGGAAGGTCTGCCTGTCTCCCTCCCTGTAACTCAAGTAAAAAATAATTGTTTAAAAAATTGAGATTAAAGTCCTCGCCTTGAACGCGCCGGGATCCCATACGGACGCAGATTCTAATCCCGGGACCTCCACTTCCCATCCAACTCCATGTCTGTGGCCTGGGAAAGGAGTCAAGGACGGCCCAGGGCTTTGGGACCCTGCACCTGTGTGGGAGACACGGAGGAAGAAACTCCTGGCTCCTGGCTTCGGATTGGCTCAGCTCCAGCCGCTGCGGCCACATGGGGAGTGAACCATTGGAAGGAAGATCTTCCTCTCTGTCTCTTCTCCACTCTGTATATCCACCTTTCCAATAAAAAAATTAAAAAAAAATTTTTAATACATATATATTGATTAAAAAAATTTCAGCACCCACTTCACCTGCCTCTCAGGTGATTGTTGTTCCACAAGACAGTGCTGGGGCAAGCCGTGAGTTACTGAAACAAACGTTGGAAGGCAAGGGACATACAGGGTAGAAGCAGGGTTGGCTCCCACCTGCACGGGAGACCAGCAGTTTCCAGCAAGGCTATCCCCTGATACACTGCCAAAAGTGTCTGACACTGTGGAAAAGTTCACCGGGGGAGGGCAGCAGGAGGGGGAGGGTTAAAGAACAGAAGATGAGGACTGCAGTGCAGCTGGGCCAAGAAATGAACCATTAACACATGAGGAGATAAAACACGCAGTCTAGCACTTCACAACTCCCTCCTGGCACAGCATACAGGGTGACCCATCCTGCCCAGCACGGGCTTGAATTTCCCTGCAGTTATCTGATAATCTTGGCGCACCTTTTATGGGAGACAATTGTAGCCATGAGCATTGCCCTCTTTGTGTTGGGGGCCACTCAGCTGCTACCGCCTCTATAGAACGCCACATGGGGTGTGCTCGGCCAAGCTGAATGACTTCTGCCTGAGCTTTGGTGTCCCATCGTCCAGCCTCCCGCCACTCCCCTCCTGCTCCCATTCCTAGCCGCCAGTCATCACTATTGTAAATTCAGTATCACGTCTTGAAGTTATTCAGAGGGGTACCTGGCACTCTGCAATGGGTGGCAGAAGGTCCAAGGACTTGAGCCGTTTCCCAGTACATTCCCAGGCATCTTAACAGGAAGCTGGATGTAACATGGAGCAGCAGGGACTAGAACTGGTGCCATATGGAACACCAGTACCCAGTACTCTTCTGTTCCCAAAGACTGGCCCACAAAGGGATTAAAAATGTTTGAAGGCCCGGTGCCATGGCCTAGCAGCTCAAGTCCTCACCTTGAACACACTGGGATTTCATATGGGCGCCAGTTCTATTTTGTTTTTAAGATTTATTTTTATTGAAAAGTCAAATATACAGAGAGGAGAGACAGAGAGGAAGATCTTCCATCCAATGATTCACTCCCCAAGTGAGCTCAACGGCCAGTGCTGTACTGATCCAAAGCCAGGAGCCAGGAACTTCCTCCAGGTCTCCCACACGGATGCAGGGTCCCCAGGCTTTGGGATGTTCTCAGATGCTTTCCCAGGCCACAAGCAGGAAGCTGGATAGGAAGTGGAGCTGCTGGGATTAGAACCGGCGTCCATATGGGATCCTGGCACGTTCAAGGTGAGGACTTTAGCCACTAGGCTACCACACCTATTTCACACATTTTATAGAGACACACAGAGGTCTTCCTCCTGCTGCTTTGCTCCCCAAATGAGCACAACAGCCAGAGCTGAGCTGATCTGAAAGTAGGAGCCGGAATCCTCCAGGTCTCCCCCGTGGTCGCAGATCACTGCTGTTTTCCCAGGTCATAAACAGGTGGACAGGAAGTACAGCAGCCGGGACATGAACTGGCCCACAAACAGGATACCAGCACCAAAGGGAGGCTTAGCCTGTTGAGAAACCGCGCTGCCTGCCCCTGTTCCTTCTTGCAGGGAGCCTGGGGCTAACGTGGACAAGCCCACAGGATCAGGGATCCAATTCCAGCTCCTCCTCCAGGGTCTTCCCACATTCTGGGTGGAGGCACACCAGGAAATCAGCATAACATCCGGTTTTGCGCTTCTCCAGCCACAGGCCAAGAAGCAAGCAGCTGCTGATGGGCAGGTGAGCACCCCAGTGCCTGCTGCCCCCTGGGAGGTAGCAGCCAGCCCCCTCCCCCCGGGGTCCGCAGAGAGCTACTAGAACAGGACACAACGGAAGCCCCACGCTTTCTTTTTTCAAGTCAAGCTTTTAATGAAAAGATCATAAAATAACAGTTTCTCGTCGCTGTACATTAAGACTGCCCGTTTCTGCACGGACAGAGATGGGAGGTGGGATGGGGAGTGGTCATTGGGCTATGACACTGGATGGCTGGCTGCCCGCCGCTGCAGACGCGACCTGACTGTATCCGAATGCTCCAAGGGACTGCGGACGCGGGAGCACCAATGTGACGGGTAACGGCGGTGTGGCGGGCCCAGGAGTGCGATCCGGGGACCCCGGCCCCCTGCCCTGCCTGCCGGCCAAGAGCCAGGAGCGGGACACGTGAGGATCCCTTTAATTTTTTTCCAGTTGCAATGAAACCAGAATGGGCCTCGGCCCAGCACCCTTCCCCTCCCCCCTCGAGGTATTTGCGAATGGGCCCCCAGCAGCAGGGGTGGGGGGCAGGAGGACTCCCCTCAGCACCTGGCCCCACGGGATCCCGCCACGTGAAGTGGGGGGGAGATGTGGAGCCCTGGGAACCCTCCGTGCCCCCCGAGTGAGGTCTGTTCTGCAGCATTTACTTGAGGTCAATAAATTACAGCAATAAATAGCAAGGTGAGGTAGAGGGAGGGGGAATCCTGTAGACGGTGAAGGTGGGTGGCTGAGGGCGGGGATGCACCCTGGCGAAGCGCGGGGTGAGGCGGAGGTCCTGGGCAGCCTAAGCCCCCATGACTCACCCTCCCAACCCCACTGGTCTGGAATGTCAGCTTGAGGCTCCGAGCCCGCTCCTGGCATCCGAATCACAGGTTCAGTATCTCAGCCCCCAGTACTGCGTCTGAGGCCCCGAAATGGATGACCTTGGTCCCTTGGGGTGCAGGGAGAAGTATGCCTCCCCCACTCCCCCATCCACCTCAGGTCTGGCAACTGGGTCTTTTGGTCCCCCAAGCCTGAGAGGGAGGGGAAGGGGTAGACAGATGCCACCATTGCCTGGTCTCCCTGAGTCCTGCCCCTCCTGGCTTCCCAGGTCCAGAACGCACTCCTGACGGGGGCCTGAGGTTCAGTGAATACTGACGGGGTGGGGGAACAGACCGTGGTCACCCCCTACAAGAGGACAGGCTATGCAACAGCGCCCCCGGCGGCAAGGACGCGCAGGCAGTCTGGGTCGGGGTTGTTTGCTTCACAGGTTGTGTATGGCTATGCTGAGGTTTTTATTTTGCTTAAAGGTTCATTTTTCTTTGCAATCCTGGAGGAGCCCCTTGCTTGTGGCTCTGTCCAGCAGGAGTGGGCGGTGGTGCAGCCGGGCCTGTTGTCCAGGCTGCTCGCCCCAAGTCTGAGAAATAAATACATTCATCACTGCACAAACATATTGATACAAAAACAACACTGGTCAGAGTGTCTGTGGTCGAGGACCAGCCTGGATGGCCCCTCCTACTGCTAGAGTTGTTGGGGGACAGGGTGGCGCAGGGGACAGGTTGAATGGGGGGGGTTGTCAATACTCCCCCCGCCCTTGGCGAGGTTCACAGTTTGGCCTGAGACCCTCGCCAGGAGCCCACCTGAGGGGGCACTGGCAGGGTAGCCATTTCACCCTGAGGTCTTGTGGGTTGTGGCCACTGCCCAGGACCCTTCCCTCCCCCTACCAGGATGGTGCCCAGGGACGGTCAGCTCAGGGCCAAGGTCTTTGGTACCAGCTGGGCTTGCAGAGGCCCGGGAAGGGGGACCAGGGCTCAGCAACCACAGGAAGGGGTTGCAGGTCCCACCCCACCCCCATCCAGCAGAGGGAGGACACCCTGGGACTGGTCTTACAGCTGCTGAGGTCTGAAACTGTAGAAGTTTATGTAAACAATGAGATAAATATATTAGTATCTTTTCTTTCTTTCTGAGCCCACTGAGGTTCCATATTCATTCAAAAATGTGCTTTGGTTTAAAAAATAGGTTTTGTGAATTTGGATATGAGCTTTTTTTTTTTTTGCTATTTTTTTTTTTGCCTTTTTTTCCCCTCGCTTATCCTCTTTCTGCTAGTTTTGTTTCCTGCTTCTCCGACACATTCAGGAATTCAGTGGCTACAGCAGGGGAGCTATGAGCCCGCCACGGCCTCTGGTGGCCCGACTTCCTTGGGAGGACAAACTAAAATGCACACACTCCCACAGGCAAGCACGCACTCGGTCGCAACACAGAATCCAAGGGAAAAAGAGAAAGAAAACAAAAACCAAATGTTGTGGTCACCCGGCCCCGCCCCCACAAATTCTTAAAATCTTAAATAGGAAACTAGTGTTCTGTTTTCTCATTACAATGCAGAAAAGGCTCCATACAATACTAAGGTGGGTACAATACTGTGTCGCAAGGCTGGCTGGGCCGGCCAGGGCCACTGCTCCCTGTCCCTCAAGGGGACCCGCCTGCACGCCTGGGGACAGGGACTCCCCTGCAAGCGCAGGGCCCTGGCCAGGACCATCCTCCTGCGGTACAGACTTTGTGTCCAGTGGCTTCAGTGCGGGGTGGGCTCCCCCCAAACACGTGGTTAACCACTTGGGTCCCTGAAATCCGGCTCTCTTCAGCAGGAGGACTGGGGAGGGGGCGGGGAACCTGGCCATATATATATATATATATATATAAAATATATATTTTTTTTGGTCTGAACTAAAAACTGAGGGGAGGGGAAAAAAAACTGTAAAAGTAAAAAAGGACAATTAAGAACCTGCTGACCATGTCCTGCCCGGCGGCTCCCAGGAAGCTAAGAGCAGTGAGGCCAGGGGCCATGACCTTGGTCTGCCCTTGGCTCCGAGCCTATGGTGGTGGTCTCCGAGAAAGCCTGAGGTGAGGGGAGAGGATGGACCCAGCCAGAGCCTGTGGGTGGTCACTAGCCCCAGGGGAGCTCACTGGATTTTGGTTGGCTCCCTCCCACTTGTATTGCTGGCTACTGCCGGCCCTCCCAAGCTTGGGGTCTCACAGGCATTGGGGAGTGGGTGGAGGTCGAGGAGGCGGGATGGGGGGGGTCTCACTTCCGCCTCATCCTGGCCCTGACAGGCCTGCCTCCTCTCGGTGGGCCTCCCTCCCTCTCTGGTGCAGCTGGAGAAAAGCCAACTGCGCTCACACAGCTGAGAGCAGCAGGTGGTGCACCAGGCGTGGGGTGGAGGGGTGGGGGGTACGGGAGGATGTCCCAGCCACCAGCCTACTGTCATCATGAATCCAAGAGGTAGTAGCAAAAGTCAGAAGCCTCCACACCGTGTTCAGTGAGGAAGGCACAGAGGGAAGCATCTGCCCACGCGCACGGCACTCGCCACATCCACACGGGAAACGCCAGCAGCCCCACCCCCACCCCCTAGGACCCAGGCCTCCCAGTTCCAACAGTCACATAAACGTTACACTGGTTTTTCCTCTTAATAACAATAATAATAATAATTAAAAAAAAAAAAGTACCTCTACAAGAAGGACATTTCCTTGGAATATAGGAAAAAGCACTTTCCTCTCTCCTGAGGTGGCCGAGGCCAGGCTGGGGAACCTGGCCGCCTTTGGGCGAGATGCACGAGGGCTCCTGGGGCCTGGGGAGGGGCTGGCGGACGGCAGGCAGGGCAGCTGCCCCATTACATTCAGTCTGCAGACCCTGGCTCAGCCCCAGAGGGGCCTGGACGAAAATTAGCTATGGTTGCTTTTGGTTTTAAAAAAAAAAAAAAAAGGCAGGGAAAAAATGTTTAAACAGATCAGTAGGAACAACAGCAACACAGCCCCCGGAGGGCTCCAGCTGTCGAGGTAGGCAGTGGGCTAACCCTGAGCGCCCCGTGCCGGCCCCGCCCCGCCCTTCCAGCACCTGCCCTGCGCGGATACACTCGCACACGCGCATCCACACAGCACCCTGCCCTGGGCTGGCGCAGGGGACGGGGGTCGGACGCACAATGCCCTTCTCCAACCCGGCCAGCAGGACGCAGGAGCCACTCACACCGGCCAAGCGGAGGGGAGCTGGGAGCCCAAGGTGAGGCGGGGAGGTAGACTGGCCCACCAGCTCCATGCCCACGGGGCCGGGCCGCCGGCTGGCTTCCCTTGGTATAGACTGCTGATTAAAGCTCTGTGGATATGGGGGAGGCTGGGCCCGGAGAGGGGCAGGGGGCGACACCCGCCCCTCCCACTGCACCTCCTCCGAGCGCCTGCTCCGTTCTTCGCTGCGTGTGGAGCCTGCTCGGGGCGCCCGCGGGTCTTTGGCTTCTAGGAGGGGGAGGTGTGCATGCGCAGGTGGCTGATGAGGTTGCGTTGCTGCGTGAACTTGCCCCCGCACAGCTGGCACTCGTAGGGCTTCTCGCCCGAGTGCACGCGCATGTGCTCCGTGAGGCGGTACTGCCGGGTGAAGCGCATGCCGCACTCGTCGCACGCGAAGGGCTTCAGGCCCAGGTGGCTGCGCATGTGGCGTGTCATGGTGCCACGCTGCGTGAACATCTTGCCGCAGATGTTGCACGGGAAGGGCCGCGTGAGCCAGTGCGTCTTCTCGTGCTGCCGCAGGGTGGCCGGGTCCTTGTAGGTCTTCTCGCACACTGAGCACTTGAAGGGCCGCGCCTCGGCTGCATAGGAGGCGCTGGGTGCCGACAGGTCCTCAGCCTCCTCTTCGGCGCCCCCGCTGCCCGTCTCATAGGCCCCCTCTTCCTTGATGAACAGCTCCTCCTCCGTGTGCGTCTCTACGTGCGCGTTGAGCTGCTCCGAGCTGGGGAAGCCCTTGGCACAGGGGATGCACACGTACAGGTTGTCACCGTACGGCACGCTGTCGTAGCCCTCCGGCCGGTATAAGTAGTGCCCACTGCTGGAGTGGCCCCCGCCGCCCTCGCTCCCGCTCTGCCCGCTGTCATCACTGCCATCCTTGCCGTTCTCCTCCTCCTCCTTGCAGGGGTATGGGGGTTCCCCGTAGGGCCCACTCTGGCTGCCTCCCCCAGCGCTTCCTGCCGCGATGCCGATGCCGTTAGGAACCCGGTCGCCCTCCTCCTCAGTGCCGGCGCCCGTGGGCCCCGCCTCTCTCAGCTCAAACGGGGAGCCGGCTGCGGGCTCCTTCTTGCTCCACTCTTTCTTGCGGGCCGAATGTCGCAGGCTCTTGCGGGGCTGCCCGCTGGGCCCCTCCAGCAGGCTCAGGTGGTTGCCCTCAGTCCCCTCCAAATCCATGGGCTCCTCAGGGGTGCCACCCACCTCGGCATAAGAGGCACTGTTGGCACCAGGCAGAGGGGCGGGGCCCGCAGTGGGCGAGCCTTGCTGGCTGTCACTCATTTGGGCAGGGTCTTCCGGAGTGAGGTGGGGGCCGAGTGTGGCTGGGGGCAGGGGTGGGCTCTTCTTGGACAGGTCCAGGCCCAGCTCCTGCTCGCAACCCCCACTGCTTCCGTTGGTGCTGCTGCTGCAGCCCCCCAGGCCCACCTCACTGCCCACAGGGCAGGCCGTGTGGCCCAGACCGTGCACACCCTCCTGGGCAGCCGCCCCCAGGAAGATCTCCTCTTCATCTGAGCCCTTAGCCTGGGGGAATTCCTGGGAGCTGTGGGCTTCCTTGTGCCCATCCATCAGCCCTGGGTACCGAGCCTGGATGACAGTGGCTGTGGACAGCCGCTGGCTACGCGGGTGCCGTCCCATCCCGGAGGTGCCTGCCCGACCTGAGCCAAAGGCCTTGCCTGCTCGCTTGAGCTTGCGGCGGCACAGGGCTGCCAGCTCAGGCAGCTGGAGGTAGCTGGCGGCTGTGAGGAGCGTGCTGAAGTTGGGCTCAGCTGGCTGGTCGCTGGGCAGTAGCTTGCCGGTGTAGATGAAGTCCAAGATCTGCTGGAACACCGTGGAGCTGACCATGTCTGTGTCCAGGTTGATGAGGTTGTCGTGCAGGACCAGGGACTTGAAGTAGATGCTGCTGGCAGCGAGGACATTCTTGTGGGCCCGGAAGATGGAGTTCTCCACCATGATGATGACATCACACAGGAAGCCCTTGGTCCTCTGCTGGTTTAGCTGTAGCAGGAGTTGCTTTGAGTGGCTGGGCAGCTCCATGTCTGGCCCCATGTCCCCACGCCCTGCCCACGCGCACCACCTGCAGGCAAGGACAGGCACGCAGTGTTAGCTCACAGAGGCACACTCCAGCCAGGCCCTCGGAGGGGAGCCCATGATGCCCACCCTCCCTGAGGACTCAGCTCTCCGAGAGGGGGAGTCAGGCTGCCACCCCACCTGCACTGGTAAGAAAACAGAAGTTGGGCCTGGCACGTTGGCCTAGCTGATCCTCACCTTGAACATGTCGGGATCCCATAGTGGCACCATTCTAATCCCGGCAGCTCTATTTCCCATCCAACTCCCTGCTTGTGGCCTGGGAAAGCAGTGGAGGATGGCCCAAAGCCTTGGGACCCTGCACCCGTGTGGGAGACCCGGAAGAGGTTCCTGGCTCCGGACAGGCTCAGCACTGGCCATTGCGGCCACTTGGGGAGTGAATCATTGGATGGTTGGTCTTCCTGTCTGTCTCTCCTCTCTCTCGATAATGTATATGTATGACTTTGCAATAAAAATAAAACAAATTTAAAAAAAACTGAAGTCATGGGCCACAAAGGTACCAAACAGAAAACCCAAAAATTTGGATTCACAACACAAGCTACTGTCTCCACTGGCTGGGCCTGGCACTGTGCCACAAAGGCTCTGCTGCAGGGAGCATGCTCAAGTCAGAGCTCCAGTACCAAGTCTTGGCTGCTGGCCCTTCAGTCGAGCTTCCTGCTGATGCACCCAGGAAGCACCTGGTCGCGGCCAGGCACACAGGAGAATGAAAAGAGCTCCAGGTCCCAGGCTTCAGCTCTGCCCAGCCCTGGCCATTGCCACCATTTGGGGAGTCAACAAGCAGACAGATTACACAGAGAGAGAAACAGAGAAATAAAGAAGTTGGTCACAGGCCCATGGAGATGAACAGAAAAACCTAAAAATGACCAGCAGGTGGCTATGGCATGTAGGAAGCAGGAGGCTCCAGGTGAGCTGGATGGTCCTGCCCAGGAATGCAGGTCCTCAGGGCAGGTCTTCCCAGCTTTCGAAACCAGCTGGAAATCCGGATTTTCCTGTGTCAGCTCCCAGTGCTGAGCCAAAGTTGTTTTTTAAACCAAGTGGGACAAACAAATGCATCTGCCCTGGTGGCCTTGGGTGTTGAAAGTCCTGCTCAGCCCCAGCCTCTGGAACCATCAGTGAGGACGCCCATGCCGCAGGCTCACCGGGCATTCTCCTCCTGCTCCTACAGCCTCCCCATGGCCACTGGTCCTCGCCGATGCCCACCTCCCCAGCTCTCACCTGCTCCTGAGCCTGGCCCTCTGACCCCTGCCAGATATGCTGGCACAGACAATGAGGTCAAGCAATAATGAACACACAAGCACCTCTGCTTTGCCCGCTGGCACACCAGTGCGCATCGCCCGATCATGCTCTCTTGTCCCATTGAGCAGCCCCCTTTTGCCAAGGGCTGGGGTGCCCAGCAGCAGGGAGAGCAAGGATAGGGGGCAATAGAGGCATGGCAGGCTCAGGAGGACCAACAGGTACGGAGACCAGCCCCAAGGGCAGGGGCAAAAGATGCCAGCCAGTGGTGCCCAGGATAGCCCTCAGGGACACCTTCAGCCCCAATCCAATTCTGCTGTGATGAACCAGAGGCAGAGGGCACATGGCAGGCCAGCAGGGCGTAAGTGTCCCTAGCCCAGTCCCTGCCCTGCACAGCCAGCTCTGGGCTTCACCAGCACCCAGCCTTGCCACATCCCCTCCTCTGCTTGCTGACAAAGTAAGGGAACTACCTGTGAACTCAGGGTGCAGAGCGGGACACACCTGTTAGAGGGCTTTACCTGCTCTCCACTCCAGGAACTGCCCTGGCTCAGCAAGGCTGACCTGAAGCAGACTGGGAGGTGGCCTGAGGAAGCTGGAGCCATCCTTTTTCACCTATTCCTCCCCCGACCCAACCAAGGAAGAACAAAGCCCATGGTGTGGCTTCTGGAACCAGGGTCCCAGGGAAATGGCAGCCCAGTGAGGGGTCAGGCCAAGGGAGGGGAGCCTCACTGCGGCCACAGAACCCTTCCCCGCTGCCCAGTGCCACACACACACACACACAAAGGACTGCAGGCAGAGCTTGTCTGGAGAGCCCCAGAGGAAGAGAAAAGGGAGCAGCAAGCCGCCACCCCCTGCCCAGTGCCTTCCAGGCAGCCTACCGGAGTGCCAGCGGCCCAGAAACCATGTGAGCAGCAGCCAGCGGGGGGCGGCCTCCTTGAGCGCGTGGGCTTCCTGGGGTGCATCAATGCCTGGTCACCTGGGGATAAGAAACAAGCGGTCACCCAGATAGGTGGCATACAGCTTTGGGCAGGGTGGCTGGCTGCCAGGCCTGGAGCCCTTGCCCAGGAAGGAATGCCCTGTCATCAGGCACAGCAGTCACAGCAGCCAGAGACCTTGAGTTGGCCCTGATGGCAGGGAAGACCAAGTCTGTACCGCGCACACACACTTATCTGGGACACCCTGGGGGTGTGGGTGGCAGGCACACAATCCCTATGCCTGTGGTCAGGCCTGGGCAAGGCCCTTCTCAGGCTGGCCACATTTACATAACAAAAGGTCAAAATTGGAGCCACTTGTGCAAGGGCTATTTATAAGAACCAGTCTCAACCGCTTCTGGCTCCCTGGCCTCCTCCCCTCCTCCCTGCCCAGGGGCTGGGCCCCCTCCTCTCCTCTCCTGCCCAGCCCAGCCACATGGCTTCTCCCCCTTCCCAGCTGTGGCCTAGGCCTTTCAGCAGGAGTCCACCAGAGCCCTGTGGCAGCTGCTGCTGTGGGAGGGCGGGCGCCCTCTCCTTCCAACAGGGGACCCTGGGACTTGATTCTCTCTCTCACACACACACACTCACACACCCTTGGAATGAAGCCAGGGAGGCATGAGGGGGCAGGGAGCCTGTGGCAGCGAGCCTGCAGCAGCCGGAGCCCATTCCAGCCTGCCCTTCCCCTCCCCATCCCAGGGCCAGGGAGGCTAAGCAGGTCCCTCAGGAATGTGACCAGACCCAGGGTGCCCGCCTGTGACTGGGAAGGCCTCCAGGTTGCAAGCTGCCAACTCTTGCTGCCAAGGGGGGGGTAACTGTGCTCTCCCCTCCCCCATCCAATCAAAAACCCAGAGGGCAGCAAAACCAAACTTCACAGGTTAGGGCACAGCCACAGTCACTATGCCCCATCACCCAGGAGGGCTAAACGCAGGCAAAGGCCAGGGATGGTGGTGCAGGAGACAGAACGCAGCCCACAGAAACACTAGTGTGAACAGCGAAGCATTAGAGCCCACGGACACGGCCCACCACGTGGCCCGCCCCGGCAGAGCAGCCCCCACATCCACTCAGTGACATGTGCCTGCCCAGATCCTGCATCTAGGGCTCTGACCAAGGCCTGTCAGAGACAGGGAAGGGCAGGCGGGAACCCCAGGCTGTGCCAGGACAACACAGGGAAGGGGAGCCTCCTCCGCAGCAGGCAGCAGCAGATGACACGATGCAGCCTGGCTTGCCACACACACCCTGAATGGGAAGCACCCCCCGCCACACACATACACCCGCCCGCCAGCAGGCACAGGCGGGAGTAGCCAGCAGCACCTATCTTGGAGAAGCTAGAGCCTGGGCCAGTGCCAGGTGACTGCAGCCATGGCTGTGGGCCAGTCAGCAGCCACCGCCCACAGACTGGGATGAAGACCTGGCCTGGCACCCCGCCCTCGGCAGTTCAGGTACCCAGTCCAACACCATGCTGCCTGACCCATGCCGACACTGCACCCCGGTGGCTCAGGGGACAGTGGGGGGAAGGGGTGACAGACAAGCCATCTGGCTGGCTCAAGCGCCTCAATAGGGGACAGTCTCCCCCAACACACACTTTGTGAGCACACTGGGCTCCCCTCCTCAGGTGTCCCTCCCATTAGATCCAATACCCTTCCCCACCCATGGCCTCTCTCCCCTCCCCTCCTCTCCTCTCCCCATCTATGTGCAAAAAAAGCCAGAGGCAGTGTCTCAAGTACTACACAGCTCAGCTGAACACATCAAGTGATCCCAGTCAGCACCCCCTTGGGCCATCTCCCCACCCTGCAGGCAATCCACATGGCCCCCAGGGCTCAGGGGGAGGCCTGGCCAGGCCATCAACAGCCTCTCCCAGCACCCTAGAGGGGAGGAAGATACAAAGACAACTAGGGGGAGGAGAGAGTGTGCTACTGGGCAAGGCAGGTCAAGCCACTTGCAACCCCAGCATCCCAAGTGGGCGCCAGCTGGAGATTCAACGGCTCCACTTCCAATCCTGCTCCGTGCTAACACACCTGGGAAAGCGGCGAGAACGGCCCCAGTGCTTGGGCCCCTACACCAACCTGGGAGACCCAGATGAAACTCCAGGTTCCTGACTTCAGCTTAGACCATCCCCAGCTGTTGTGGCCATTTGGGGGATGAACCAGAAGATGGAAGATTTCTCTTTGTGTCCTTCTCCGTAACTCTTTCAAATCAAGAAATAAATCAAAGCAAAACAAACAAAAAAAGAAGGGATGAAGCAGATCCTTCCTCAGGCAGAAAGCTGAGAATGGACTCCAGCCGCTCCTCCCCCAGCCAGCAGGGCGCTGACCCAGCTCGGTCTGGATACCACCTGCCCAGCGCCAGGACTTCCAGGACTGCTCTGGCTATGGGCCCCAGGCACACTTAACCTCTCCAGGCTGGTTGGCAGGAGGGGAAGGCCAAACACTGGGTGTGGTCTCAGGCCACAGGATACCCCGCCCCCTTCCTCCTCCAGGGCTGGTCCCTGGCCCCAGGGCCAGACCTCCTGGCCAGGTCTGGCTCTGGCCTGCAAGAGGGCTGGAGGGCAAGGTGGAGGCCAGGGAAATGGAGCCTCTTGGAAACCTCTGCTCCCTGTCTCCCTACCTGGGGGCAAGGAAGAGTGAGCGCCCAGGCTATGGGTTCTCTACCCTCAACCACCTACCTCCCAGCCCACCTAGCCAGCAGCAGCAGGGAAATGGAGCCCACCGCCAGCAGGGCCGTCTGCACCACCCACCCAAAGCACCAGAGCTGCCAGGCAGCATCCCACATCCCAGAGGTTTAAGCACCTGTGACAGAAGGCAGGGCATGACAGACATGCTAACAAGGCCCCCCCAGATGCAGGTCTGTCCAGGCCAGACCTCACCAAGTGTTGACAGCAAGCTATCCCTGCCTCTGCTGGCAAGGGCTCCCCCTCAGTGCCCCCAGGTTGCAGCAGCACCCCAAACCTGGTAGCCAGCCTGTGCTATGCAGCCACAAGCCAGGCTCCATGAAGCCTGACCCATCTTCATCTGTCACAACCCCTGCCCAGGTCCCCTCTGCCCCAAGCAGTGGAAGGGGGGACATTATCTCTTAGACTACCCCTGTTTAAGGAGGAAGGTTCCTGGGGGCTGAGAAATTTGCCCAGGGTCACAGACCGCGCTGGTAGCAGAATAAGGTGGCAATACCGGACTCTGGAACTGCAGCCAACACTTGCAGGTGGCAGGGAGGCCCCTCATCAAGGGGGCTGCACCTCCACTGCCAACAGCTGCTGTGACCCAAAACCCTGGGTCCCCCAGCCACCAGCAGTGGCCCACTTACACTATACTTTCCTGGTCCACCAGAGGCAATCGGGGCTGAGCCTAGGGTCATCACAAAGTCCCTGCTGCACCCATAAGTTTCTGGGAACACCCTGTCTTCATGACCGCCTGCCCTGTCCCTCCAGGCATGGGCTGATGGAGCATGGGGCTCCATGCTCTGGGCAAGCCCAGCTGTGTCATCGGGCCAAGACCTGGACGCAGGCCAGCAGCTCCTGGCTCTTCTCCCAGTGTGTCCTCCTGGAAAGCAGCAGGCTGTGTGAGTGCCAGGAGCCCGCCCTGCTGCGGACGGCTCCCCGTGTGGGAGCTTCAGAGACAGAGCCGCAGGCTGGCCTCTTCCTCTCCCCTTCTATTCACGGTGGGAGGGTGGCACCCTCACTTATCCTCAACAACTTCACTCCAGTCCTGATGCCTGAGCCTACCTGGGGGCAAGGAAGTCCTGGGGCTAGGGACCCAGGTGCTGCAGTCAACCTCAATGTGCCACTTCCTCCTGCGAAGCAAACATTGAGAACAGGCATTCCAGCCTCAAACCTGGCGTGCCCACAAGAGGGGTCTTGGTCCCACTCTCTTCCTTCCTTTACTGTGGCTTTAGAGGCAGCGCAAAACAGGGACTGTTGGCTCCTGGGAGAAAAGAGTGGGAATCTCCCTCGTGGGGCACAGCACACGTGTGAGCACAGGATGACCCCACACAGCCCTGGAGCAGGGATGCTGCTGCCTCTGCCGGGTGAGGGCCAAGAGGACCAGGTGCCCCACTGCCCGGTTCACCCTAGAGTGCTGATGGTCTTACTCCAGTGTCAATAACCCTATGGGGCTGCACCTGAACCTCCGGGGGGACTCGAACACACACACATCCAAGTCTCTGCTGCAAGCTTGCTGGAGCCAGGAAGCCCGGGGTTCCGCAAACAGCAAGTATTCAGAGGAGGCAGGTCCCAGGAGGAAGCGCCACTTCCCCAGGGGAGCAGGGACCGAGGTGACACCACAGGGCCAGGGGAGTGGCCCAAGTGCAGGGGTTTCTGTCAGAGGAGGGCGTTCTGGGAGAAAGGGCAGAAGTCCAGCAGTAAACAGGCAGGCATTCCCAGGGGCCCTGGGCAGCAGGGCACACTCAGCTTTCGGGAAGGCACTATCGGACCATCTCACTGGCCCCAGGATACCCTCACGGGGAGATAACTGTGCCTCCGAGGGAAGGGCTGGGCACAGCTGAGTCACCACAGCAGCTTCATCATTCCCCAGCACGTCCTGGGAGCCGATCCTTCTCAGGCCTGCTAGGGACTTCAGCAGAACAAACAAGAGCCTCACCTCGCCCAGCCACTGCCAGTACAAGGGAGAGAATGTGTCAGGGACGGGCAGAGCAAGCCCTCCCACCTGCTCTGGCTGGGACGGAAGGGAGGCAGATTGTTGGGGGGAAACAGAAAAAAACAGGAACATGGATCCACACGTACGTGTACACACACACACACACGCACACACGCTCACACGCACACAGTAACCTTAAGGCCACAAAGGACTGAGGAACCCAAAGAAGCCTACAAGTAAGTATATCCTCGGTGGAAACAATGAGAAAGGGGACTGTGTGAAAGTAAAACCAGGACTGACAGTTCCCATCAGAATCAGAACTTAAAATCCATCAGGAAAAAGCTAGGTGAGACCAGGCAGTGGGCAACCACCGGAAGGCTCACGCACTTTAGAGAAACTTTTAGGGGTCATTGCG